AAAAAAACGTGCTCTGCATCTTCAGTGGCTCCGGGGCAGGACGGCCTCTCCGGAGAATCGTCATGCCTAAAGTGGTGAAGATAAGCCCGAAAGCAGCCATGTCCTGACAACATCTGCGTTAGGTAGTAGTTGACCTCACCGTGATTCCGGTTCAGCCCAATGTCGATCTTTGGTATGAGACGTTGTGTCCATCTACCCTTCTCTGCGCCATCCCACTGAGATTGCCATCGTGTGTGTGTGTGTGTGTGTGTGTGTGGTATGTGTGTCCTTTTTACGGATTCTAGGCATAGTTGTTTGGCCTGGATATGTGGCGACTAGACGCAGCGTCAAACTAAAACTCGACGCTAACGCCCCTACCCACTAAACCCTAAACCCCTTTCCTCTTTCCTCTTATCCCTCATGGAAACCGCCGTTAGGCATTACTTCGTGGGGGAAGGAATAGCGACTGCTCTTCCTTCTGGTAACTAAGGTATTATTTTACCTTTCTTCTAGTTGTTGTCATTTGCTCTTTTTCTTTCGATGGAACGCAAGTCTATAAGGACTTCTGTTGCAAACGTGTTTGCGGCGTTTCAGGCAGCCTCTGATGACAGCATTGCTTCTACTATTGTCTCTGGTTGGATTTTCTTCTTCAGGATCATCTCCAGCTCATCTCGCTGTGAGTAAAATCGTGGGAACTCAAAGAAAACGTGCTCCGCGTCTTCATTCATTCTTGGGCAGGACGGGCACTCCGGTGAATCATCATGCTTGAAGCGGTGAAGATACGTCCGAAAACATCCATATCCTGACAACATCTGCGTCAGATAGTAATTGACCTCGCCATGACTCCGGTTCAGCCAAACGTCGATCTTCGGTATGAAACGGTGTGTCCATCTTCCTGTTGTCACGGCGTCCCACTGCGATTGCCATCGTGCGATGCTGTTCTGCCGTTCTTCAGCTCTGAGTTCCTCGGCACTTAGTGTGGTTGACCTCTTTCGTTGGTAAAGATTCCGTCTTTCCTCAGCTAGAACTCTGAGCGGCAAAGTTCCGGAAATGACACACACTGCTACTTCTGATATCGTGCGGAATGCACTGGCTAGCCTTACAGCGCTCAGTCGATATACTGGTCCAGCTTTTCTCCATGATTCTTGCAACTTCAGCGCGTCTGCCCAAATGGATATTTCATATATGAGCACCGATGTGACATCTGATGATAGTAGTAGTCTCCTGCTCTGCTTTGGGCCTCCGACGTTCGGCATCAGTTGTGCGAGACTAGCCCTAACTACTGACGCTTTCGCACTGACGTGTTCCACTTGCTGTTTAAAGTTGAGACGGGCATCAAGCATCACTCCCAAAGATCGGATATATGGTTGTGATGTGATTTCTTGTTCGCCAACTTTCAGCTTGATGGTCTCTAACACTTTTCGGCTGGATATAAGCACTGCCTCAGTTTTGTGTGTAGCCAGATGCCGGTTCACCGTATTCATCCACCGATGGACTCGCTCGACGGTGATGTCGAACATGTTGTTAATCTCGTCAAGGTGTTTAGCGACGATTACTACGGCTACGTCGTCGGCATACGCTACAAGTTTTACACTTCTTGGCAATTTCAATCTCAATAGGCCATCGTACATGATATTCCACAGCAGTGGACCAAGTACAGGGCCCTGGGGTACACCTCCGGTAATATCGTACTCTTTTGTACCATTCTTCGTGTCGTATTTAAGAACTCTATCAGTGAAATAGCTGGCCACTATGTTACACAGGGATTCTGGAACGTTTTTCTCTCGAAGAGCTTGCATGATGCAGTTCCAGTTGGCGGAATTGAAGGCGTTTTTAATGTCTAATGCCGCCACCAGGCAATACTTCTTTGTTTCACCCTTTCATCTGGTTCCTTCGATAGCTTCTTTAGCCGTGCTAATAACCAGATTGATCGCGTCCAGGGTTGATCGTCCTTTCCAGAATTCATACTGGTTGTTTGCCAGGAGTGGGTCGACTACTGCATCTATTGATTGATGAATTATGCGCTTAAATATCTTACCCGCCGTATCTAGCATGCAAAGTGGTCGATAAGATGACGGTTTTTCTGGAGGTTTCGTCCCTTTAGGTAACAGTTACAATCGTTGCTGTATCCAATTGAGAGGAAAAGTCCCCTCCTTAAAGCATGCATTATAAACGTCTAGGAATAATGTTGGAGCTGCTTTTATGATGGTTTTCAAGGCTATATTAGGGATTCCGTCCAATCCCGGTGCTTTATTATTCCCTACACGGTTACAGGCCTCCAGCAGTTCTTTTTCAGTGACAGATGGAATGTCGTCCAGTTCACCTGGCGCCAGCTGGTAATCGAAGTTGCGTTGTTGTGGGAACAGTGCAGTGTCGATTTTTTAAAGAAGTTGAGGGCACGTAGGTGATGGCATTTGTTGTTTTTTCAGGTGTGTTATAACCACCTTATAAGGCCTTCCCCACACGTCTTTATCCACCTCGTATATAAGCTCTTTCCAGCATCTTCTTTTGCTCCCTTTGATGGCTTTATTCAGTTCACGACGCGCCTCCTTCTACCTTGCGATCAGCTCTACTGAGTTGGGCCGTTGATAGCCACGCTGGGAGATTCTTCTCTTTATATGACACTCTTTACGGACGACGCTGATGTGGTCGTTCCACTAATGCACCGAAGGTCTCGAATTTATGCCACGTTTACGAGGCATACTGGCGTCACAAGCATGTGTTACTCTCCTCATCAGGTCCTTAGTCTGTTGTTCTGCACATCCAGTCTTGATCGGATCACGATCGAGGGCTATTAGCAATGCTTCTGGGTCAAAAGATTTCCTCTTCCAACCAACGATGTTAGACTGCTTGACTGGTCTCTTGAGGTTCTGGTCGTTTGATATTTCCCAGAATATCGCATGATGGTCACTGGCAGTGTAGATGTCCAACACTTTCCAGTTGTAGTCGCCTCTAGTAAGGCTATTACTGACAAAAGTGAGGTCTACAATTGAGCTTGCGTCACCTTTGGTGTAGGTCAGCGTATCACCACTGTTGAGCGAAACTACATCTAGTGTAGTAAAGGCCTCTAGTAGTGCTTTCCCTCGTGCGTTGGTATGTTTGCTGCCCCAGTCAACTGCCCAGGAGTTGAAGTCTCCGGCTATCGCTACTGGATGGTATTGCTTCTCATCTTCGGTTAGTCGATCCAGGAAATCAGTGAAGTCAACAATAGAGAGGCTAGGTAGTGCGTAGCAGCTATAGAAGTGGATGCCTTCTACTGATACTGCTACAAAGCCGGCATTGCTGTTGTCGACTGCATTTTGGAAAGAAAGCTTGCCACATGACCAGATGACAGCATTGGATGTGCTGTCAGATTCCCAGGGTTGGGTACTCAGGTGTTTATATGGCTCTGCTATCAGTACCAATTCCAGCTCTAATTCACGCACGGATTGCATGAGCAGGTCATGCGCTGCCTTACAATGTTTGAGATTGAGCTGCAATATCCTCATGCTTGTTTGTTCCTCAACTCCTGGAGCGCCTCCTGAAATACCGGGCATCTGTAGGTGCCGGCATGGTGAGCCACGTCCTTTGCTGCTTGCTGCTCAGCACATATTGCACACTTGGCAGAATTTTTACAGTCTGCGATACGGTGCCCTTCTTGTCCACATCTGATGCAGAGTTTAGATTGGTCTACTTGGCTTTAACATTGGGGCCCAACATATCCAAAGTGCCAGCATTTAAAGCATTGGGCTGGCCTTCTAGTTGCTCTTATTCGGCAATTGACCCAGCCAATCCTTATTTTGCCGATTCCTTCCAGTAGCTGTTGTGCTGCAGCTGCTGGTAGTGTCTCTGTAGCCGTTTGCGTATCTCTGTAGTCCTTACGGATCTTGATAGCCTCTAGTGATATTTCGCAAGTTTTTCCGGTTTCCGTTTTCGAAGCTGTCTGAATGTGCTCCTTCGTCGTGTCATCATCAATGTCTCGGATCTCGATGGTCTCCTGCGGTCCTTTGCAGATTACTTCGGCCTCTTTTTGAAAAATATCCATGATGGTCTTTTGCAAGGCTTTGCCTTTGTCGATACTCTTCTTTGAGAGAGTAATCAGCATGTCCCTAGTTTTGATTTTGTGGAACTTCTCCACGGTTGTGCGGACCCGTTCGTCAGGGACGGCCTGCTTTATACGACGCAATATTTCGGCGTACTTCTCCTTCTCGACCGGACGGATGATCAGAGCGACAGGCCTGATCCATTTTCGCGGTTTCTTCCGCTTAGGTTCTGGCCGGGGCTCTTTCGGTGGTTGCTTAGGAAGCTGCTCTTTCCTTTGCCTTTTCAGTTCTTTTTTTGACTGAACTCGTTGCCAAGCTGACGCTTTAATCGGTTCGTCGCTTTGCAGTGCTGTTCTTTGCAGAAGGCTTTTTTTCAGGTCTTTCTTCTTTGTTGCTTGGCTGAATACTGGGTCTGGAGAGGGTCTTTCTTTTCTCTTAGCAGGCTTGCCGAAAGTTTCACGCCTGTCTTCAGTGACTGTTTCACCGTTACTTTCGGCTCATGAGTAAGGCCTCGTAACGTTGTCAAAACATTTGGCAACGCAGGTAGACTCAAAGATTACGGGGATCACAGAAGAGACAAGTAACAAACGAACGAGACAGTAATTCTAGTTGTTACATTTCCATTCAGTACTACCACCTTAGTGCATTTATTGCTTCTATGGTAATAGTCAGAAGAACAAGTGAATCGTTGTACCATCAGTCCAATTTGTATTATGTTTGAATGTAGTCAAAGCGCTTTCAATCGAAACCTACCTTACCTACTATCAGTACAGTTTGTTTTTAGGCTGTTGCTAGTCGTCCGCTAACTACTAACTTCGTTGTTTTTATACCAAAATTTTGTTTTAAAATGACATCAAGTCTAGTTGTCCACTTTTAGTATCAAGCTTGCTAGCTTAATACGTGCATTCAACGTAACACACCGTATATTATCAAACTACGCAATTAGTTATTTGCATCAGTACATTAATAATAAGATAAATTCTTTTTTTACAAATAACTATGGCGAAGAATCAGGCAATATTTCAACTAAATGATTTATTCGATGATCACGAAGAAATCGTAACTAAATTAAAACTATATAAAGCAACAACGGGTTATGAATTCAATACATTGAATAGTACGAAGCTTGATAAAAAAAAATTAAAAAAAAATTATAATGAAAAGCTAATTTACGATGATCGATATTTGAAATGTATTGTTAATCCTAAACCCCAAGCCGCACGTGATTTTGAAGACGAAAATCCTGGGTAGGTTACAATCACTTATTTCTTATAATGTAATATAGTCGAGTCTCGTTATGAGTCCTACTAGTGTCTCTCTCATATTAACGCGAGTCTGGTTAAAAAAGAAGAAAATAAATAGGACTCATAACGAGACTCGACTGTATTATAAGTTGGATAAATCAAGCAATCATACTATTTACAACTTAATTTTTTACAGTATCAAAGTGAAGCAGTGTCCTGCACACTTAACTTTTAGGACAACTACGGATAAACAGCACCTAACAATTACTCAATTTGAACCAGAGCACGATCACGATCCATCAGATAGAGTACGTAAAATAGTGTAATTTAAAATGACGCTATGTAAATAAATATTAGTAGCTAGTCGGTGATTTTTTACAGAAACTCATGTTTATTGTAATGATGCAGTTTGAAATAATCATTATTAATAATGAAAGTATAATTTCAAGCATTTCTAACGCGCAAATGAATATATTAATAATTGATTATTTGTTAGTGACTGTTGAAGAATTTTAGGATTATTTAGTTATAACATGTAGACTTGCTCAAGTTCGATAAAAGTTATAATTTTCTAAAGAAATACTAATTTTTTTTTAAAAATATTTTCACAGACTCCACGACTGAAAGCGTGTAAACAACAGGTTGCTAAGAACAAAATTCGAGACACTGTAATTGTAGTAAGTATTAAGGATTTTTTAATAAAGCTTGCTGATAATGTATCCATAATTTCTGGGTGTTTTCCCCATTGGCCGAATTTTTTATAAACTTAGGAAGATTATTACTCTTAATATAAAAAAGATTTAGTACAAATAATTTTTAATGTCAAAATTCAACAAATTGATAATTTTAATTTATTACATAATCCTAAAAATAGTACGAGAATTTTTTTAATTTTCTATTTGTGACAGTATGATCAAAATAAATGACTCAGCTATAAAAGTAAAAGATTAAAATAGCTTTCGATAATCTCAAGTATAATTAATATATATATCATTATTAATTAACTAATCGTTTATTTTCTTATTGAAATTTCCTCTTTATAACCCTTTTATATTTCGATTTCAATAAACAACAGTCAATTGTTTTTTTTTCTAACGATTTATCATAAATTATGTAACATATTAATACTTAGATTATCATATTATTACTTGGATTATTTTTCAGAATCATAAACAGAATCTCGACGATTCAGTTAACTCTTCTGTTCTCAATTTGCCAGACGATCAACAAATTCAATCTCCTATTATCACTGAATCAAACGTAAGTATACAAAATTTCTATTAAACATAAATTTTATTTTAACTCATAATTTCAATCAATTGAAAAACAAAAAACATCACAAATTCATAATATCGAAGCTGTTTAACGCCTGTAATCAGAGTAAGTTAATTCGCGGCAATAATCTTTAATTACGTTGAATGTCGTAAAAAAATTAGCAAGTCTATGTGTATTTTGCTATTAAGTGTGCATACTGCTGTGCAATGCATATGGTTTAATAATATTAAAAACTAAGATCAATAATTATTACATTTTGAATAGGCTGAAGTTTTGTCCTCACTGCCAGAAACCGCCGATGAATCAATTAATATTGCTGATATCGCCGTAGTTTGTGAAGAAGATTTCGACATCTTATTAAAAAATATGGAGATTAATATTAGATCTGCGCTCCATAAAGAAAAGCAGAACCAAAAAATCTATCGAGTAAATCAGATGCTGAATGGCATTAATAATAATGAAAACAATTTTGGTGTTGCGTCAAAAGTTGAAAATTTATCAATTTACTTGAGCCGATCTCGTGGACGCAATCGAGGTCGAAAAAATCGAGTTATCGGTCTACCAGCTAGTAAAAGAAACTACTCTATAAAATCATTTGATGAGTTGAGAGAAGGTCAGAAAAAAAAGTACATTTTAAAGCTAATGTTCGATGATGAAGATTTTATTAAGGACATTATTTTACGTATAAAAAAATTGAGTTGTCAAACTTGAATGATGTACAATTGAATATGCCTGACGCTTTAAGTAGTGAAACTATTTACCTAAATATAGTCCAAGTTTATTTTGAAGATGATGCTTTCCAACACTTAAATAAATTGATTCAATCTAAACGTCATAACAACACTAACTGGACTTGTTACAGTTGCAAAAATAATTTGGATACTGACGACAGTGTTGAATGTGACAAATGTTTATTTTGGAACCATTGGGCATGTGTTGAGTTGACGGAAGCACCACTTAACGATTGGTTCTGCCCTAAGTGTAAACTTGAAAATAATAATTAAATTTTCTGTAAAGATTTTTTTATAAAGTCCCTAAAGATGTTGTTAGCCTTTAAATTTATAAAATTAAAATTTAACAACGTTACTTTAACAAAAATTTTTATTACGTAGAGCCTACATTGCAGTTGGTACGAAAATTTAATTGGTTAATTTCATACATCTAAGAACTGATGATCACTGCCTTGCAATAGAATTTATTAAGTTGCATTGATAATATTAAATTACTCTATTTTTCAAAGATTAGTCCTTAAAAATAAAAATATGAATAAATATTATTGGTCTCAATATAAGTAATATTTTATTGCAATTTATTTTATCTTTTAATTATTATAAGTAATAATGTATCAATCATTTTTTGTTTGCACAATATATGTAATATTTATATTGTTAAATATATTAAGATAGTCAAATAATTTCAGTAAGTCTAGTAATGTAATCGTTCATCAATCAAAAACGAAATAAATATTTTAAACTTTTGATTTTATACAAATTTGTTATCATAATTGGTATTAATAATAGGGAATTACATATTGACTAGCCTTAGTGATGTTCTTACCATTAGATATTTCTCTTTAATTAAAAAATAATAAAATATAAATGAAATAAAGGTTGTACTTGCGAGAGTGAAGTGAAATATTATATCTTCTTAAAAATATATATTATATATACACGAGATAAAAATTAACAAATTTATAGTTTTTTTCATGAAAAAAATTGTAAATCTTTTGGAAAAATAGACTATATTAAAAAAAATACCGAAAAATAAATTTTGTGAATCTTTAAACGTTATCCAATTGGCAGAATTTAGTTATCTATTATAGTCTCAAAATTATTTTGGAAAATCTCGTTAAGTTTATATTTTAATAAAAATGAAAAAACTTTTTAATGACCCAGAATTTTTAAACACAGAAAAAACGATTCACTTGAGCCAAGAAAATATATTTTTTTTCCTACTTATTTTCTTGAGCAAAAAAAGAAATTTTATTTCGACATAAGAAATTTCACTTATTCCAACAAAATTAATTCTCTTGCTTTAAGAAATACGTATCTTGATCCAAGAAAATTTATCTAAGTCAAGAAAATCTTGTTGTTTTGAGAAAATTCAGCCTCGAACTCCAAAAAATTTACTTCTTGACCGAAGTAAATTTCTTGTCTTGAGAAAATTTCTTTGTTGCTTCAAAAACTTTAATATCTCGATAGAAGTAAATTTTCATTAATACTTTTATTGATTAACATGTCAAATAGGAAGATCAAATAATGTTGAATCGGTTTTTTTCATTCAATATGTATAATTGCACGCTGAAATAATATAAAATAGGTATCAAATATTCAAGAGAAAAATTTTCTCAAAAGGTGAGAAAATTTTTTTATCAGCTAAAGTAAGTTGCGCTGCTTCCCGAAAGTATCTAAAAATCTTGATCAAATATAAAAATTTATTGAATCGAGTATTTTTGATAGTTTAAATTAAGAAAAACTTACTTCTACCGAGAATAGAATTTCAAGAAAAATTTTTACTTCGGCCAACACAACTTCGGTCTTCCTTGAGGCACTCGAAAATTTTCTTGAGCCAAGAATTTTGTTCTCCAGTCAAGAAATTTTTCTTTCTGTGAACGAATGGACCGATTTCACGCATTTTCGTTCATAGAACAAAAGTGTCGAGTTTCAGTAAGATCCATCAAGAATTAAGTCGTAATTGTGCTGACAATGATAGTTTAAATTAAACATGATTAAATAAACTTTGAGATAAAAATAATATATTTGAACTATCTTTGACGGTACAAATATTATTTCAATAAATTTGACAAAATTGAAAATTATTTGAAAATTAAAAAAAATGTTCCAACACCCACAACTTCGAAACTACTAATGCCATAAGGGCATATACCTGCAATAGATACCAGTGAAAGGGCATAAGGGCGTATAAAAATATTAGTTTTGGAAATCGACGTATTTTCGTCTAAAATGTGCAGAAATGTGCAGAAATGCAAGAAAAATAATTTTATACGCCCTTATGACATCCAAGATGAGCCCTGGGAACCATAAGGGCGTATAAAAAAATTTTAATCTGGAGATAGACGAACTTTCACCTGGAACGTGAAGAAATGCAAAAAAAAATTTCTCCGAATTAAAATTTTTTTTTCGTAAATTCATTTTTTTTTAAATTCAAATTTTGGGAAAAATTTTTTTACGTTCCAGCCAAAAGTACATTGATTTTCAAAATAACTTTTTTTTACGCACCTTTATGTTTTCTGTGTGCCATAAGAGAGTACAGTTAATAAGTAATTTGTTTAGTACAATTTATTAACCGTTAATAAATATTTATTAATAGTTAATGAATATTTTTTAACTGTTAAAAAATATTAATTTAATATAAATTGCAAAAATAGCAATTTTCTTTTGACACTTTTTATAACTTTATAGCTGGAATACACGATATTAATTTAATTCACTAAATAAATTAACGTTTTTAATACTTAAAAATATAATATAATTAATGCAAATAATTTATAAAGATGATTTTTATTTATAATCAATCTTTATTTCATATGACATTACAGGCGAAACAAATTCACTCTACAAAATCTTTATTAACTGTTAATAAATATTTGTTAAATATAAATAAATATTTATTAACCTCTAATAAATCTAATTTCCTCCCAAATAAATATTTATTTAATGTTGAAAAATATTTATTAAAATTTAATAAATTAAATAATTGTTTTCAAATAAATTAAATTATTAATAGTTAATAAATTCTTTTATCAGTGCATAACCTATTTAATCAATTAAACTAAGTTTGTTACAACTCCAATATTAGCATAAGAGATATAACAATAATGCATGGACTGTTCTGCCAGGAGCATCGGAAATGTCGCCAGTCACTATGGGTCTGACGCCCATAGTGACATTGGCGCATCGCCTATAACTATTATCGATGATACTATTCCCACTATAGCCAAATCATCTATGCTGGCGATTTTTCATCCAATGAAAAATCTTCTAAACCATACAGCATGGTGCTCACACCCATAGTGACATACTGATATCCGCAATGTATTTCTTTCCGTGTATAAGAGAGTATAATTGTTATATGCCCTTATACCATAAAGTATCGGTAACGTGATATATTATATTACAATGGACTTATTACTTTATCTAAGTATTCATTATGAATATATGTTTTGTACTTTACGAGGCTTAGAAACCACATTCAAGGGCTGATTAAAATTTTATGAACACATAGTTTATCGAAATTTTCGTAATAATTTAACTCCTAGCCATTACCTGGTAAAAACCAAGGACAATATACAAGTGAAAAGAGGATTATTATAATAAAATTTCAATAAAAATAAACTACTAATCATATTCTAACGGGATCAATGGCAATCTATAAAGAGCATAAAAAAAATATGAAATACGTGTTTTTGAAGATGGAGGTAATATTCGCTGAGATATTCCGGGATGTAAGAAATTGACGATTATTCGCTGTTCTTTGTGTCAGAAGTCATTGTGTCGTAAAAACGCAAATATAATTTATGTGATATTTTGAGCTCGCTGAGTTCAAAGAAATAATATTTCAATGCATTTGACCTCTCTCAGCTCAAAAGTCTAATAGAAGTTTCATAGAACACTATTTTTAGAATTTTCAAACCGGAATAACTTTTGAATGAATCAACCAATTTTCACGCGGTTGGCGCTATTCGACGCAGTTTTATCATCTTCATAAGTTATTTTCAGGTTTTAATTGATAAAACCGAAAATTTCGGAGTATTCCCGAAAAAACACTTTTTTCGGCTTTCTTTCGTTCACGATATCTCTCGAACGAATCAACCGATTTTGATCAGCTTGGTTGCAATCGACGTGGTTTTTTTATGTTAAGAGCTAATTAGTTTTTAGAATCGATCGGTAGAGCAGTTTGAAAGTTATTCCAAAAAATGTCGGAGTTATGTTGAAAAAATCCTTATTTCCAAATATTTCGTCGAGGATATCTCTCGAACCAATCAACCGATTATTACATTCTTAGCGGCGATCAACAGGGTTTTTTGAGCTCTAAAAATTATTCGATGCCATTAAAAACGATCCGAGAAGAAATGACGAAGTTATGTGAAAAAAATTGGAAAAACATTTTTTTTTTTTTTCTTTCGTTCACGATATCTCTCGAACGAATCAACCGATTTTGATCAGCTTAGGTTGCAATCGACGTGGTTTTTTTATGTTAAGTAGCTAATTAGTTTTTAGAATCGATCGGTAGAGCAGTTTGAAAGTTATTCCAAAAAATGTCGGAGTTATGTTGAAAAAATCCTTATTTCCAAATATTTCGTCGAGGATATCTCTCGAACCAATCAACCGATTATTACATTCTTAGCGGCGATCAACAGGGTTTTTTGAGCTCTAAAAATTATTCGATGCCATTAAAAACGATCCGAGAAGAAATGACGAAGTTATGTGAATAAAACACTTTTCGGTTTTTTTCTGTTTTCTTTCGTTCACGCTATCTCTCGAACGAATCAACCGATTTTGACCAGGTTAGCGTCGATCGACATGGTTTTTCAAGCTTAAGGGCGGATTAGTTTTTGAAGTTGATCGATTGAACCGTTTAAAAGATATTCCAAAAAAAACCACTTTCAAAAATGATTTTTTTCCAATTTTTTTTGAGATATTTCAAAACTTCTCAAAATCTATCGGTCCGAATCGGTTTAAATTCTCAGGAAATCTAAGTTCGAGGGAACTCTTTAGAACGCCGCTTAGTTCGTTCCAATCGGTTCAGTCGTTCAAAAGTTATAAGCGAGTCACATAGTCACACACGCACATAGTCACATAGCAATCGCAGTGGGACGCCACGACAACAGGAAGATGGACACACCGTCTCATACCGAAGATCAACGTTTGGCTAAACCGGAGTCATGGCGAGGTCAATTACTATCTGACGCAGATGTTGTCAGGACATGGATGTTTTCGGACGTATCTTCACCGCTTCAAGCATGATGATTCACCGGAGTGCC